AAAAAAAAAAAAAAAAAAAAAAATAGAGGACATAATCAGGGAAGAGAGAATCTAATCTCTATGTCCATGGAACATTAATTGCCTAGAAATAAAATCAGCCTTATTCTTCAATTACCTTTTGAAAAAATATGTGAAAAAAAAAACCCATTATCTTCTATAGAAATCACAAAAAAAAGATGAAAAGTGGCCGGCGTGGTGGCTCACACCTGTAATCTCAGCACTTTGGGAGGCTGAGGCAGGCAAATCACGAGGTCAGGAGATAAAGACCATCCTGGCCAACATAGTTAAACCCTGTCTCTACTAAAAATACAAAAATTAGCTGGGTGTGGGGGCATGTGCCTGTAGTCCTAGCTACTAGGGAGGCAGAAGAATCGCTTGAGCCCGGGAGGAGGAGGTTGCAGTGAGCCGAGATCGCACCACTGCACTCCAGCCTGGTGACACAGCAAGGCTGTCTCAAAAAAAAAAAAAAAAAGAAGAAGAAAAGTGTCGCTAAGACCCATCTGTTAATGTTGGTATATATTTTTGTTGCAGTACAGAATGATCTCATGATAATTGAGATTTTTAAATTCCAAAATAGGTACAATTTATTATTGGTTGTTTATTTAATTATATGTGTACGTATACACATAGATGTGTGTGTGGGTGTATAAAATTTCATTTAACAAAATATTAAGGTTCTACCTACCTCCAAAAGCTTCTGTAATTGCCATGCTTTCAATTCCACCTCCTAGCAACTTACTGGAAATAGAAAGAAAGCATTAGTAACAGGAACAGAAATAGAAAATATTAAGGGAGGAGAAAGTATTCATATCATTACTATCCTATCTATCTGTCTATCTAACCTATCCTCTATCTATCTATCTACAGAACATGAACAGGAATTCTTGGCTAATAAATAGCATGCCACCTGTGCAGATCACAGGTTCTGTTATGTATGGGGAAGTGGATCAGCAAAACAAATAATAAGCTCTGCCATTCTTATTTCAATAATAAATGGGGCCTGGGAATATTGCATGTTGTAGGCTTAAAAATAACAAAAAATTCTTTTAAGAAAAAAAATTAAAAATAGTAAATGGGTTAGCAAGGCTTTATGTCTTACTAATCTTTAGAATCAAATTGGAGTTACAGATCGTCTTAGCTATTATTATTATTATATATATTTATTTCAAGAAAGAGTCTCACTCTGTTGCCCAGGCTAGAGTGCAGTGGCGTGATCTTGGTTCACTGCAAACTCCGCCTCCCAGGTTCAAGAGATTAACCTGCCTCGGCCTCCCAAGTAGCTGGGATTACAGGTGCCTGCCACCATGCTTGGCTAATTTTTGTATTTTTAGTAGAAACGGGGTTTCACCACATTGGCCAGGCCTGTGTCAAACTCCTGAACTTAGGTGATCTGCCTGCCTTGGCCTCCCAAAGTGCTGGGATTACAGGCATGAGCCACAGCGTCTAGCCTGTCTGATATTAAATTGAGTGTTTGTTTAATATTGTGCTGGAACTATGTTTCTAAAAGTCAACTGAATTTTCAATATTTTTTCTTTTCTTTTTCTTTTTTTGAGACAGGATCTTGTTCTGTTGCCTGAAACCGGGCTAAGTTTTTATTTTTTTGTACAGCTGGGGTCTTGCTCTGTTGCCCAGGTTGGTCTCAAACTCCTGAGGCTCAAGTGATCTGCCCACCTCTGCCTTCCAAAGTG